AGTGTAATCTATAAAACTTTAATTTTAGTCCGCCCACGTTTGATTCATGTGTTAGTTAAAAAGAAAAAGAAAGAAAGAAATCCGGGAAAAACACTTCACAACTTAATCCAATATAAGCCCAGGTATACTCCTGTGTCAAAAAACACGGACAACTAAAAGAGCAAATTCAAAGTGAAACTTCAAACAAAGGGAAAGAACGGACCGAACAATAAAGTAGTTGTATCCTGACTGATATAACCGGCATAGACCAATCTGTTTCCTCGGAATACCGGAGTCAGTACACCTCAGATATACGTGTAGCTGGCATGTCGGAGGCATGGCTGAAGACAACTCCTCTGACAGCGCACCAACGCTCTCCACATGCAGTTCGGCAATCGTGAACAGCACGACCCAAGTAAGTTCAAATTTATGTACCGGATCAGGTCAATCATCTGGTGATTTTGATAGTGAGCCTACTTCAGTTGCCGCGGATGAGCACAGGTCACAAAATGTCCAGTGCTATAACGCACTGATAGGGTTAGGGTTTAAAGGGTTTAGATAGGGTTTAAAGTTCTCCTAAGTTTCTTTTTATGTTTTGTTTGTTAGATAGCCAACATCTTTGCAGTGTTTATGCTTGGGAGCCCAAGTCACAAAGTGTGCCCCCCTCCCACCCACAGTACCCACCTAGGCTACGTAGTGCCGCCACAGTTATTTTATTTTGAGTTTCTCCGTCGTTTTTCTTTTGTTACTACGTCTAATAAACGTGACCTCGACCTACTAATCAGCCGTACTACGGTGAAACCTCGGGTCGCAGCGAGGTGGATGTGCAGTGCTGGCGGACGAGCCGGAGTCACCCTCCATGCCAACGGCAGCACCCACAGCGACGCTGGGCGCACGTACTCGGAATTTACGTTCCCGGCCAGGGTCACCCAGTCCAGTTAGCGGACGACTGCGGAGTGGTAGATGCGGCGAATCACCACATCACAGTGTCAACACTGCAGCCATTTGATACCAGGATGGTGTCCTCCCGTGACGCATCATCTAAAGCTGGCGGCAGAACGCCCAACCCCAGCACCAACCTACCTTCCCTCAGGTCAGTTGTTGTTTCTCCAACTCTACCTGACAAGGATTCCAGGAGGAATCCTCCCTCTGATTTTCGTCAGAAAAGTGGTCTTCTAACACCAAGCAATTCGATCATCCTGTCAACACTGAACTGTAGAACACTTGCTCACAAATCCGCCCAAGCAGAACTAAATAAGCTTATGACAGATGTCATGATTACTGCTGTTTGTATTCAAGAACATCGTATTATGCACACCGCAGATGACCCAGATATTGTTGCTCATAATCTTGGTTCTAACACACTATTTACTTCATCGGCGTGTAAGAACTTTAGAAATGCCACCATTGGGGGCGTGGGAATCGTAGTGTCTTCATCCATACTACCCCTAGTGTCATCAGTCAGTAAAATCTCGGACCGGATAGTCGTATTGACTATTAGGGGCAATCCAAAGACGATACTTGTTTCCTGTCACTCCCCTCACAATGACAGACCGGAAGATGAGAGTGTCGATTTCTATTCCACACTGAGCTCCTTCATTCAGTCAACCCCCTCCCATGCCATGTTATTTATTGGTGGAGACTTTAATGCTAGGATAGGGGATATATTTTCGTATCATCAAGCAACAAACCGTAACGGACAGTTTCTTATTGACTTTGTCCATCAACATAACCTCCTAATAGGTAATGCCTCCTTTCAGAAACCCAAGAAAAGGCTGTGGACGTGGCGATCCCCAAGAGGTGACCTCGCACAGCTTGACTACTGCCTGTACAGAAAGAGGTGGAGAAATAGCATCAAAGACTGCCAGGCGTACAACTCGTCCAATCCTATAGGCAGTGACCACAGGATCATTTCCACTAAGATACGCCTCAGTGTTCGTGTCCCCAAAATTACCCGTCGTAAAAAGCTGAATTGGCAAGCAGTAAGAAAGGATGTATCTTTGGCAAACGAAATTGACACCTCCATCTCCCAGAAGCTTGACGAACTCCCAGAAAACAAAAGATCATACAGCGAGTTTGTGAGAATCTGTAATGCAGTCGGGTCTCAACAGCTCCCTCGTAAACAACCTAGAGACTCTGACCCAGTGGATAGCCCTGAGGTTTCTCTAGCAAGACGTGCCACTCTACGTTCCTCCACAAATAAAGTTCAAGCTGCCCAGACCCAACTTAAAAAGACCTATGACACAGCCACTGAAAACAGAATTAGTAAAACACTTCAAACCTTTGAAACAAGCTCTGACTTGGAGCACCTGAAAGCCTGGAAACTGATCCGTGAATTGGCCGGAAAGAAGTCTGGAGTCCTATTTATCCAGGGGGATGATAGACTAAACACTTGGAAAAACCACTTCTCCAAGTTGCTTTCTGCTGATAACCCGCAACCAAACTCGTCCAGAGTACCGATTACTCCAGTGTTCAACATTAATCACAATATTAGCTGTGATCCTTTCTCACAAAATGAAGTAGACTTGGCTCTCAACCAGATGAAACCGGGGAAAGCCCCTGGGCTCGACGGCCTACCTTTGGAATTATGGAAACTGCCTAAAGCTAGAGAAAGTCTCACTGTGTTCTGTAACCAGGCACTAGCCGGACACAGACCGCCAGAGTGGGGTCTCGCAGGTATTGTCCCAGTTCCAAAAAAGGGGAACTTGACACTTCCCGACAACTACAGAGGTATATCCCTCACACAAGTGGCAGCAAAGGTCTACAACCGCCTCTTACTGAATAGACTACGCCCCGTTATTGACAAGTTACTCCGTCCTAACCAGACTGGATTCCGACCATCACGTTCGACCTCAGCACAAATCCTGGCCCTTCGCAGGATTGTAGAAGAGGTGCGGAATCACCAAAAAGAAGCAGTTTTCATATTTATTGATTTTAGAAAAGCTTTTGACTCTATTAACCGTAATACTATGTTTGAAATTCTTTTGGCATATGGCATACCCCCTCCAATAGTAAACGACCATCAAAATCATGTATGAAGATACAACAGCTACAGTTCTCACACCCGAAGGAGAAACTGACTTCTTCAAGATCGAAACAGGTGTTCTACAGGGTGATCCGCTCGCTCCTTTCCTGTTCATAATCACTTTGGATTACGCACTACGCAAGGCTGTCAACCCCAGTGATGGTCTTACACTGCGGAGGAGACAGAGCTCCAGGTATCCGGCGGTTGTGATTCCTGACCTGGACTTTGCGGACGATATCTGTCTACTTGAGGACACCATTCGTGCTGCACAGAGTCTTCTACAGCGAGTGGAATCAGCAACCCAGGAAATTGGACTGTACCTTAATTCTTTGAAAACTAAAATGATGCATTTAAATCCAAGTGACCAGCTACAGGCACTACTTGCTAGCGATGGGACGGTAATTGAATTGGTTAGTGACTTTAAGTACTTAGGTAGCTACAGTAATTCAGCGTATGATGTTAATGTTCGTATTGGCCAGGCCTGGGGGCATGCCACGCCCTAAAAAGGTGTGGAAGGCCCCGATCCAGAATACCACAAAGTTAAAAGTCTTTAAGTCTTGTGTAGAGCCTATTTTGTTGTATAGCTCCGACTCATGGACTTTAACTAAAGTCTTGTCTAAGAAACTGAATGGTAACTACACGCGCCTGCTTCGGTGTGTGTTGAATGTTCCATGGCAGAGCCGCATGAGTAACAAAGAACTTTACAACGGTCTACCCCTGATTACCCAGACCATTCAGAACAGACGGCTGGCCCTTGCCGGTCATGTGGTACGCCACGAAGAGATGGCTGCCAAAGTGCTTCTCTGGCAACCAGATGTAAAAAGAAGGAGGGGACGTCCGTGCTTAACGTTAAAGAAACTGATCGAGGAAGAGGTTGGCTTACGGGACGAGGAACTTCTGTCCGCCATGCGAGACAGAGCCACATGGAGTGACATTACGAATGGCACCTTAGAGGATGACCTGAACTGAACTGAACTGCTATAACGCGCCGTACCCGCAGTTCGTGAATCCGATGTACACACCAGGTGTTCCCTCTGCATCAACACTTCAGGCTGATATGTGTGATGGCATTCCGGGAGACGATGGCAGTGACAACAACACGCTTCATACAGCTGCTGAGAGCGGACAAACAGTCAATGTTACCCCGGGCGATGACAACATTGAACCGGACCAACCAGATGAGATTCAGGCTGGTAACTCTGACGGCATCCGGCCATGTGCTGTAAGGTACCAGGAAGCAGCAGCTGAGGGCGGACAGACAATCGATGGTGACATTGGTGATGACAATATCGAACCTTACGCCGTTTGTGAAGAAGACGTGCAAATGACTGTGTCTCCAGGACACGCCCCGGCCTCTGATGAAAAAGGCAACACCGTTGGGCAGCAGCAAGCAACTTGCGGTAAGACAAATCTTCGTTAAACACCTTCTATAAGCAACTTGATAGATATATATAGAATATAGAATCTTTAATGTTTTTTTCTGAAGTTTGAGTTGTGGCTTTTGGTGCATATGAAATTTAGTCTAGAGTTTTTAATAACCGCTGTACACTAAAACAGCTTCATTTAGCCCAAGCACCCACTGAAACTCAAAGTAAATGCATGAAAATACATAAATGTGGTTTCAAAATCATGTATACAATATTTTATTTATATGACTCAGGAACCATAATGTTCCTACAACGCGGAACGCATAGTCAGAATTTTTCCTTGAAGAACTGACTGAGGCCAATTTAAAACAAATTCAATAACATGGGAACCCCCCACTAGGCCCATTTCAGAACTTGACCTTTGTATTCTCAACGGTAACTTGCCAACTAAAAATCATAGACAACCATTTAAGGATTCCCGAGTAATCTGGAGTACAACAAAAAACGCAAACACAAAAGGTCAGCTCCAGTCACGTAAGAACCCCCTACGAAGCCGATTTTTGGCATTGACAATGCCCATTACTAAGACAACCTGCCTGCCGAACATCGTGAACCTCGGACCATGCCTTCAAATTTTATCGTGCATAATCTGCCACACAGTGCCAAAACAATTTCATAGCCTTCTTGTCGAACGCAAATATGTGGGTCCTTGGAATCGGAAAAAGTTGCGCAGGAACAGCGGCTAGCGAACGGGTTTTACTGGAATGTGTCACTCTTTACAGTGTAATAGTTTGCGTAGACTACGCTCATTGTGTTTTTTTTCGGTGGTTATAGCTACTAGGCTATATCACACCATATACACCAAAATCAGGCTGGTCATTAACTCGTTTTTTAGTTAATGAAATGCTTTAGTTTTGAGGTTGTAACCAGTAGAACTGTGATATACATGTATGTAACCTATATATTATATATAGCAGGTTGAACATTAAGAAATACCAATCGTGCAAATCAGAACCTGATTCACGAAACAAGTTTGAACTGCAATATCCAACACAAGAAATTGGACTCACCCAAATTTTCGACTGTACATCTTCAGTCTTTGTCAAGGAATGAGCAATCCACCGCTTCCGTGACGTCACGCAGATAACACACGTGACTCCGTGAGCAGTGGATCATAGTTTGCAGAAAGTCTGTGGCGCCCCCCGTCTCTGTTGTGGGATGGTTGTAATTCTCTGATGTAGATGGCCTCTTTAATCCCTCGTGCGAAGTCCGATTCTTTGTCTAGGATTCTTACTTTATCCAATGGGACTAAATGTCCAAGTGATTCAATATGTAACGTATGTTGTCAGACTTCCGAAGTAGTCGAGCTAGGTCGTTTGTGCTCTAAGAACCTAGCCTTCAGGGATCTTTTAGTCTCTCCAATATGTATTTCTTTACATGGGCCCTCGGAGTTCTGTCCTAGACACTGTATATGGTTAAACTACCCCGCATTTATTTTCCTTTGGTGTTTTGTCCTTGGGTGAAACCAGTATATTCCGGAGGTTTCTAGTTGGTCTAAAACAAGTCTTGATCCCGCGTGTGTGGCAAAAAGCCTCCTGAGCCCCTCACTCAGGCCTTTCATATAGACAAAACAACTAGACCTCTGTTTGTGCCCTTGTTGCTGGTTTTGATTACAGTCTCTGCAGCTGAGTTTTTAGTGTATTAGCCTTGTATAACGCCCTTCACAGAGACGTGGGGGGGGCACAGACGTTCTGCAACCTATGATCCACTGCTCACGGAGTCACGTTTGTTATCTGCGTGACGTCATGGAACCGGTGGATTGTTCATTCCTTGAAAAAGACTGGAGTTGTACAGTCGAAAATTTCTCGTGTTGGATACTGCAGTTCAAACTTGTTTCACAATGACGTCTATTAACACTGATGAACTTTCAAGATCGAAACCTGATTTGTATTTGCGTACGCAAGAAGGATAGAATTACTTTGTTGTTCTTACAGATGCATCCGATGCAGGCATAAACAAGAAGATGAAATGGTGGAATCTTTGCAAAATGATGTTCAAGATCACCAGCATCATTCTCATATCCATATCATTGTTATATTCAACAGGTCAGCATCTTTAATATTGACTTATTTTCATCCTATTATTATATTTTGTAGAGGTACTCTAAGATGCAGCTTCTGTACTTTTCACTGTCTTTCTTAACGCATGCAGTCAAAGCCAACACTCTTTCTTCGGAGGTGACAAAACTTTCCTCGGTGATAGCCAAGCTTTCTACTGAGATGGGCAACAGGTTCAGTTCAATAGAGTTGCGACTGAAGGAGCAAGAACGTGAGTTAAGTCATACACCATCATAAAATAGTATTTTTTTACATTCACTTTAATTTCATCAGCACAAATCACATAATCCTTTGAATACCATGTCATTCCTAACCCTCAGTATGAAATTCTTCATTAACTGATGACGGCAAGTTAAATAAAAGTTATTGCCATATTTGTCTTTATTCGCATACAGACCAACTGCTACGCATACTTTTTAGATTCTCAAATCTTATACTGTTGTTTACTATTAATCTAGAATTTTCTAATTGGTTCAATCGACGATAAATTAATTGCAAATATGAATCAACAAGAGTTCCGAGATCTCATACATCCATGAAACATGGGCTTGACATGTAAATTTATTCTTTAATTATGCAAATGACCTCTACATAAACATAATAAATGCACCTTGATGTTAACTTTTGATTAACTTACAGTATGAAATTCCCATCATTTACCACCAAGGAGTCATAGAATTTTGAGATTATGCAAATAAGGTCCGTATTTGCATAATTGGTATCTGGTGATATTCCTCCTGCCGTAGATTATAAACATTACATGTATCAAAGTCCCATGGTGTAAAACACTGGAATTACACAATTTCCTCATTACCTTGACCTATAAACCTCTCGAAGAACAATTAGATGTTGATTCACCTAGCGGTCACCATTGGTACTCCAGAAGAATTTCCGGCTTTATACCTCGTGTCGCAGTGTAATGATTTCTGATAGCACTTAATATATTTGGGCCTAATTTTGACCGTGAATTCTACAGCGGATTCCTGAAAGGTAGCCCTTGCGTTGATACTATATATGTATAATTCTTAATTAACAGGCTACCCGCCATCCAGCTGCACTGAAGTTGCAGAGAGAGGTGGATTTGATACCCAGGCGTTCTACGTCATCGACCCTGACGGACCAGGGCGTGGGGTCCGGCCGATGTTCGTTCACTGTGACCTTGACGGACAAACAGGTCAGCTAAAAATGTCTGAGTGAGAAAGAGAGAGAGAGAGAGAGAGAGAGAGGGAAAGAGTGCTGCTTAGGAGAAAACTTTAAAGCCAGCAAAGTGTAGCTTTTACCTTCCTTCGAAGACTACTTTTTTCGCGATGGGGTGGGGGTGGGAGTTGACGGTGACATATTTTACCCAGGTTCTCTAACGTGCCAAAGGGGGTTACGCCTCTCCAACTAGAGACTTCAGGCTTATGCTGGAAATTTTACCTTCAATACAGACTGTAAAGATGAGGTTAGTTCAGAGAAACTTAGTTGAATTCAGGTCCAAGGCTCAACTGTACTGGAAAGACACATTTAGTAGATTTATAGAGTGGGATTTAGTTTATAGTCTTATTTACAAAACAACCATTGATCCACACGCTAGAGCTTTCCAATTTAAACTTTTACATAACTTCCTTGCTGTTAAGAAAAAAAATATTTGATTGGAAAATAGCTGACAACAAAATATGTTCATATTGTGAAAGTGAAGATGAGACTAATATGCATCTCTTAAATTTGGACACTGTTCTGAATTAGCAAAATGTTGGGAAGATGTTGAACAGTGGATCAATCAACAAATTAACTTCCCGGTTAGGCTGAGCCTTTATAACGTTATATTTGGTCACATAGATAATTGTCCATCTATTGTTAATACAGTTATTCTAATAGCAAAAATGTATATTTTCCGAAATAGAGACTCCAAAGTAGTTGCCTTAAAAGGTTTTGTTGAATTCGTTAGTAGTTATTGTAAGATTGAGTTTATTATTGAACAGACTTGTCAAAAAGTAAAGAAACATATGGGAAAATGGGGAACACTGCACAATTATCTCGTTAATTAGGAATTTCCACTTTCTGTCGGCGCACAGATGGTACTGTAGCCACTCCCCCTCTAATTAATCCCATTCCCCCATCCCGTCTCCCCGTTCCCCCGGTCATTCGTGCTTCCACACCTAGCTTGTGTGGCAGCATTTTTTCTAGGCTCCTCTTGCTTCTTCTTCTGTTCTCGAGCGACCCCCGTTCATTCCCGCTACGATGCCCAAGGCCAAGTCCAAGTCGCGCCGGAGCCCGCGTTCCTCCACACGGTCGTCTTCGACAGCTTCCGAGGCACTGTGCGCACTACCCTATACCTTGTTGTGTTATCTGTACATAGACAGAACGTGGGGTTCTCTTCGGAACTTGTGAAGAAGAGAACCGTTTGTAAACTGTTTTGGATTACTATTTAGTTTTTTGTTTGTACACCACGTACACTTTATTACCTTCGCCAAGAAGGTTATGTTTTCAGTAGCGTTTGTCTGTCCGTTTGTTTGTCCGTTTGTCTGTGAACAGCATAACTCAAGAAGCTTAATATGCATTGTCATGAAACTTGGTATGTGGGCAGGTCTTGATAAGACCTAGAAATGATTACATTCTGGGCCCCCTGGCGGCTTTTGTTGGTACTGCAGCAGAACTTCCGGTTTTGATATCTCACGATCTGGACATGCTAGGGTCACGAATTTTGGTTGGTAGATAGCTCTTGGGATAGGGAAGAACTGACATGAGTTTGGGCCCCCTAGCAGATTGTTCTGGAACTGCAGGAGCGTTTCTTGAAAAATCTCCGAAGGTGGATAACTCAACAACCGGTTGACAGATTGTCATGATTTTTGGTATGTAGGTAGCTGAAGTGATGCTTGACATAATCAGATGACAAGTATGCAAATCAGGAGCCAATTTGCATAATTAATGAGGAAATTCTATAAATCTGCTTCGTTCGATAATAGGACTATGAAACACTTGTGACATGTAATTGATAATGCGAAAACATCTGAGGTTATCGATTATGTAAATGAAGACCTAATTTGCATAATTAATGGGAAATTGTTGTAATTTCATAGTTGTAATTGCTGGGGATTTCATACTTGCCGCATTTGGAAGTTAAGTGAAGGTGAACATCAATTGAGATAATTTATTCAAATTATGACCTCATTTGCATAATTTATGAGGAAGTGCTAGAATAGCCATTTTTGTTAAGATATGTATAAGGCTGTCATTGGGTGGAGAATATGATCAACTTATATAATTGATGCAATTGAGGCTCTTATTTGCGAAATCAGTGATTAATATTGTATAATTTGTCAACCGGAAGGGTTAACATCATTTGGCGAAGGTATGAGATCGTGGAACTCTTGTTTGTATTCATACAACTGTAATACTTTCTTGAAAATGCAATAAAAAAAGACGAGGTGGAGCAATAACTGCTTCATTACAATTTCAGCAATAACGCTGATTGGTCACGACAGTGAAACACGGACACATGTGAAAGGGTTTGAAGGTCGTGGCAGCTACTCCAAGAACGTGACCTACTGGAACAGCCTGGAGCAAGTGAGAGCTGTGGTGAATCAGTCATCGCGATGCAAACAGCTAATCAAGGTACGTTTTGTTTAGGCCACATCAATTTGATTTGTTGGTTCTCGGATTCGCCTCTTCATTTTTTCTGATTTGCAAAAAAAATATTCTGGTTATGAATCAAGTCAAAAATTCTGAAGGCATTTTTCGAGAGATAACCTCGGATGAGAAATCAAAAAGGTTCAGAACCCCTCTAAAGCTAAGGTCCCAATTGGGAAAAGGGGCCCTGGCGGGTAGTTCCCGGGCTGTTTTTTACCACTTTCGGGCGGGACCCCGACGTGGCCCCGCGGGGCACCCTGCGGCTACCGGGCTATTTTTTGGCCCGTCGGGGCCCCGATAAGAATTTAATTCTGAGTTAAATTCTACCCGGGCCCCGCTGACAAAAAGACGCCGTGACCTCATCGTGAGAACACCGAGAGGTACCCCTCCGGTTGCCGGCATTCCACCGGGACACATTTCTTACGTCACAGACCAGATGAACAGAATAAAGGTGTGTACTTCGTAAACCCGGGTAAAATGTGTGACCTCACAGATCAAATGATCACAACAAATACGTGAATTCTGCATTACGTATAGGTCAATACAAGACATCGTCAGAGAATCTGCTGGGTACCTGCCGTGTGCCTGCCGGAGACCGACCAAAGAGGGTGACAAAATTTCTAACAAAATGCTACTGAAGGAAACTTTTAATTGTGACCACGACAGCCGATGCCCGCTCGACTCCTGAACCCGGCCGGGGCCAGCCGGGGCTACATCCCCGACGGGCACCGGCGTAATTGGGACCCTAGCTTAACAAGTAGCAGTAACAGGGCTTAGGGGGGATGACAGGCAGATGTTGTTAAACAATGATACAATATCCCACCCAATGCATTATTTGTTGCTATATAATGATACTTAATCTTTGATATTGCAAAGGCCATGGTGATATTTATCTCAGACACAATTGTACAAATTCGCATTTTCCAGTATGAATGCCATGGTTCATTCATCTGGAAGTCGAATGTAAGACGCCATGCCTGGTGGGTGACTTGGGACGGTCGCCAGGCTGACTACTGGGGAGGTGCCAGTCCTGGGAGCGGGAAATGTGCCTGTGGTGAAACAGGTAATCATAAATCATCAACCTGAAACATACAAGCTTATTCCATTTGAGCCGGAACAGTACAAGACTACAAGGGCACTATTTATCATCACCAGGATCACCATCAGAAAATATACATATACATATATAAATAAATAAATAAATAAATATATAAATATATAAATATATATACCTTATTAAATGTTTTGTTTCTCTCTGTCAAATGCTACATAGTTTTTACATGATTAATTGAGAAATAATAACCGACATATTTTAAACCCATAACATAAACAAAACCTCTGTATGACCTTAATCCTTTGTCCAACAGGCACATGCCGGGGTAGATGCAACTGTGATGTCAATGATTACACATGGCGTGAGGATTCTGGATTCCTGTCCCACAAGAATGACCTGCCGGTCACCCAGCTCAGGTTTGGGGATACCGGGGATACCTGTGTTCTTCCTGAAGATGAAGAAGGCTATCACACCCTGGGAAAACTCATCTGCTATCCCTGAGTCTCTCTGTGGATAATTGTAAGTCTCTTAAAGACATAAAACAGCACATCAGTGTTCACTTGAACATTTTTAAGTTAGCATTTTAGCAATTTACTATTGTTATGTCAATGGTTTTGATCAATGATCTGTTATAATTTGAACTATCCTTATGACAACTGTTATAATCAAGGATTTGTTGTGATTTAAATTATTGTTATGACAAATGTTATGATCAATGATTTGTTATGATTTGAATTATTGTTGTGATTATTTGTCATGATTGTTGTTATGATCAAGGATTTGTTAGGATTTGAATTATTCTGTAATTATTCTGTAAAAAATACAATTTTAAGTTAACAGGTATTTCCTTGTTTTTTTAATTGTTTCTGCAATGTCTTGTTAGGCAGCATATCAGTAGATGTGGTTACTTGTAGGTCTGAGGTGTCGATGTTTATGTTTTGTTGTGTAAGTTCTTACAAGTTGTACCAAATCTAATAGAGTGCTTTGTCGATTTGAAA